GGGAGTCTGCTTCTCCCTCTGACCCTCCCCCCTCTCATGTGCTCGCTCTCATTCTCTCTCTCTCAAATAAATAAATAAAATCTTTAAAAAAATAAATAAATAAAGGCTACATTTTGCAGCCTCCTTTGCAGCTCATGTGGTCATGTGACTGAGTTCTGCCCAATGGCATGGAAGCAGAAGCAATGTGTGTTACTTCCAGGAATGTTCTTATGCCTCTCCTTCTCCTCTTGCAGTGATCGTTGGAGCTCCAACAGCCATCTTGGACTGCAAAATGACCTTGACCATGGAAGCTCTACATGGTGGAGCAATGAGGTTCCTGACCACATAGGACATCATACCAGCGTTGGGCTGGCCCCTCCATACTTGAACAGGAGAGAAAAATTCGCTTCCATCTCGTTTTACCACTGCTTTTTTTTTGGAATTTTCTGTAATAGCTGAACTTACTGCTATCAGAGCCACCTTTTCAAATCCCTGGAGTCATGACCTCTGGGTTCTTGGGCTCACCACAGGACAGTGCAGAGAATCACCACTTGCATCTTCTGCCCAAGTTAGATAGTAAGCAGACTGGAGGCTGCAATCGTGTCTTCCCCACCACATGAAGCATGAGGCTTCACCCACCACACAAAGCATGTCTCAGGACTGAGGTCTTTCTACCGTGCTCCACACAACACACTGGTTTGCATCCATATTCTCAGCAGGCTGCAAACCTTCCTGGAACGGTACACCCAAGTATACTCGCCCCATCCAGGCTGCTTGCTCCCACGGCCCCCACCCGCTCCCCGGCTCCCAGGACGAACACTCCCTTACCAGGATGTCCGAACCCACGGGTTCCTCCCCCGAGGCTGGGTTGGAGCAGTTGCGGAGTTTGAATACCCAGTACTCCTTGGCAGTGATAAAGAAGTTCCATGGCAGTAGTCCGCCAATGCCCAAGCTGAAGAAGATGATGTAGGTCCCATGGAAGCGGTCCTCGGGCCTCTGCAGGCCAGGCAGTGGGTGGTCGAGCAGCTTCTCAAGCAGTGTTTCCCGGTCAGTGCGGAGGGAGCTGCTTGCTGTTCTGTAGGTGGAGTTTGAACTGTGATGAAAGTCATCCTCGGAGGCCATGGCCACGGCTGGAGCAGAGAGACACAGAGACAGGGCAGGAGATCAGAAGCTTAGGCTGAGTCCGGCTAGGGACTCACCCGTCCCGCAAAGCTGACTCTGCCCGGACCCTGGGTCACCACAGCATGGTTAGAGAGCTTCAGGTTTAAGGATCGGGGAGAACGACAAGATGCCAGAACTATAAGTGACCAAAGCATCACCGCCGTCCCCGTGCAGGACAACATAGGTAGCCAACAAGCTGTGGGCTGGCCGGGAGTAAGGCCATGTGATGCAGTGGGACCTACGGCAATCGATCCAGAAGGGCAAACCTGAGCTCAAGGCCTTCAACTGTCTTTGCAGCCATTTAAAAAAAGGGATTAGGACCCTTGATAGGCAAAGCATGTTCTCCAAACTCTTTTCAACTTTATGTGAGAAAAGTTAGGAGCAGGAAAGTGCATAGAATATGTTATTATTTGTGCAAAAAAGCAGACAGGGCTGGGCTGGGTGGGGAGGAGAATATCCTGTGGAAGGACCCACGGGAAATTTCAGAGTGGTTGCCCCTGGGGAGGGAGGGGTCTTCACTGCCTCCTCTTTTGTGCCTTTGGAATTCTGAACTATGTGAAGGGATTATGTATTCAGAAATAAAATTATAAATAAAAATAAAGGCATTCAAATAAAATAACATTTAAAACAAAAAACTAAAACCATGGTGTCTAGAGCTGCCTGGAGAAGCCAGTTTGAGAGATCTAATAGTCCACTCCCTCATTTAATTTTTGGGAAACCAAGGTCTGAAGAGCAGAAGGTCACAGACCAGGTCCATGGCCAAGCCTGGATTTGTAGCTCCTGCCCGGGTCCCCACCTCTGTCCCTCGCATCCCATCAGGAGACAGCCACTCCCAATCTGTGACAGCACCTAAAACTTAACTGAAATTCTGGGATGCCTACATGACCTTGGGCAAGTCACCATGCTTCTGAGCCTCAATTTCCCTATCTGTAAACCGAGGGAGGCCTTTTTTACTATGCTTATATAACTGCAACTGGCTACCAGTGCCTGGCCTGTGATAGCAGCTGCTGCAGGAACGTGAGCATCTTCCCCGCCATCCTGGGCTTGTCCCCTGGCTGGCTGGCTGCTGAATGGCTGCAAAGTAGTCTGCCTGCTTCCATGCTCTATATAGCACCTAGCACATGGCGGCAGCTTGATAAATGGGCAGTACTTCCACAGAGCTGAGGATGGGACATTGTAGTAGTTCCTGCAGTAGTTCCCCACCCCCCCCCCAGTACATCAAGAAATGAACTCGGCTCAGCCCCCTCGGAGGCTGAACCTTAGACTCACAGCATCCAGCCGGGCCCTCCTGCCCTGGGGAGACGGGAATGCCCTGTCACATGGGCACACAGCCTTCTCTGGTATCTCAGGAGAGCCTCACAACATTCCTTGGAATTAAGCAGGACAGGAATTCGTGCCTCCCTTTTTTCAGAGGCAAAGAATGAAGCCTTGAAGGCAGTTGATTTGCCCCCCATTCAAATAGTAAGAATTCCCAGTAGCTAAAATGAAATCTGGTGCTCATGCAATGTCAAGGTCTGCACCTCGCACTTGAGCCTGACAACAGCACAACATGACAGGTACCACTCTAAGGCTCATTTCACAGATGCAGAGTGAGGCTCCAGAAGGTTCAGTCATTTGGCCACGGTCACACAGCTGCCAAATGGCAAGGACGAGGTTACATAGCCAAGCAGTCCGAGGCCCACCCGGGAGAGGAGGCTGGCTGGCAATGTGAACCCATGTCTGCTGGCTCCAAGCACAGACCTCCTTCTAGAAGGCCTCACGGACAGTGAGCTGTGAGCGGAGGTGAAGAGGATGCAGGGCACCCTCACCAGTGTTTGCTGAATGAATGGACTCTGTCTGGGTGGTCAGGATATTCCCTCCTACGGGGGCAGCATGTACCCTGGAGCGGGCAGGCAAGGGGCTGCCAGATGCCCGAGCATGCAAGCCAGCAAGTCTATTTTCCACTCCCCTGGCTGAGCAGCGCCCTTCCCTAGCCTTGTTCCACAGGAAGCCCAGCTCTGACAAACTAACCAGTGTGAGCACACATGCAGTGTGCGTGCCCAGGTGCAGACACACACGCATTTCTCAATTAGTGTTTAGAAATGTAAAAACTATGACCCATGTAGGACAACAGACGAAGGACAAGTGGTTCTTTCCAGATGCTCCAGCTACAGGGGTGGGGGCAGGGGCCCGCGGCCGGCTTACTCCGGCCCACTCTCATCTCCACCCATCTATTTGTCCAGGGCCATTCAGCCTTGACTGAGCTCCTGAAGAAGGAACCAGAAATTTTCTCTAACCTGGGTCACAGGCCAGGGCACTGAAGTGAGCAAAGTCTTATTACTCTTTATAAAACTAGCTGCTGGCTTTTGGATTAAAAAGAAAGAAAGGAAAAAGAAAGCTAAGAAAGAGCCCTGGTGTCCCCAGCGTGGGCTGGCTGTGGCCTGCCCTGTACTCAAGTCACCTGCAGGAGTTGGCCAGGCTTGGCGGGGCTCCTTTCCTGGGTGACTTGGGGGATGGGGCAGCACCCCCACAAAGAAGCAGAAGAGTGTGGTGCCCAGGCTGCTGCAGACCACCATCTGGAACTGGGGGCCTGGTTCCCAGGAGGTTTCTGACTCTGGCTCAGTCAATCTCCCCACTGTGCCTCGATTTCCTCATCTGTGAAATGAGGGTAGGGGAGCTGGTGATGCTAACCCATGGGAAAGCACTTCTGGGGAACACAGGGTGCCACCCAGACACCATGGCAGAATCGGCTTTGGGGTTGGAGGCACCCCCAGCCTCAGACTCCCCCAGTTTGAACTAAGAGTCAGCCACCTTCTGGATACTTTGGGCTGACTCGTCCATACCCAGGCCCCCCACAACCAGGCGGTGAGGTCCCGTGTCAGGAAATCCATGAGGAGGAGGAAGAGGAGGGGAGAGAATCCAGGGGAGAAAGAGCATAGCGACCCAGAAAGGGAAAAATTAGCAGGGCGTGGGGGAAGGGGGCAGGAGTCAGAGGGGGCGCGACCGGGAGGGATACAGCGAGAGGTGAGAGGCGCCGCAGCGGGGTGGCTGGGGCTGGGGCTGGGGCTGGGTGGGCCCCCCCTCCCGAGGTTCCCGCGGAGCAGCCCCCAGGAGGGCTCCTCGGGGGAGGCCGCCGAAGCGCGAGCCCAGGGGGCGGCCGGGAGCCTGAAGAGCCGGCCGGGGGTCAGGTCCACGCCCG